ATAGTTGAGGTATACCTATGATGAAAATTACAGGCCTCTCTCATCTTTTTAAGTGGGAGAACTTGCACAATTGGTGGCTGACTAAATACTTTTTTGCCCCACTGTAGCTGGGAATGGCAATACTGAGGATCAAAGTAAGAAAATCCCCAAAACTAAAAAGAAAAAAGAATAGCTAAAGAAAAGAAAAGACAGCAACTAGCAACATGCATGGATTACTAGTAGCTTCATCTCTCATCTGTGGAGATAATGAAAATTCCTGTCTGCAGTTAGCTTATTTGGAAAACTTGGGTATAACAATATTGATTATTGAAATGAAAAGAGAACAATAAATGCAAAACTTTTCAAAATATTTGAATTCAGTAAAAAATTTAAAGTGTGCACAGAGCTAAAATCTTCTTTTAAACTCCAGGTATGTTTACCAAGTTTCTAGACAACAACTTTCAGCCCTGCAAGAACACATGACATAGTACAAGAATACTTACTTTTTTGTAACTTAATGAAAAGCATTCAGAGTTTTTATTTTTTAAATGAAATTCAAGTTCTAAATTTACCTGCAGTTCAGGTTCTAGAATGTAGGATTTGATAACCTCAAATATTTCAGCTGACAGAAGGGGCCTTTTCAAAAACACCTGCCATTTTATTTACAACTGAAAATACTCATTTTTAAACACAACTTGTTTTTTTGTTTTTAGGGACATTCTGTCTTATGCATTATATTTTATTCTTACATATTATTTTTGATCTGAAAAGAATATTAACAAGCACTAAGTACTACAGATATTTTAAATAAGTTCCTGTTGTCCTAGATGTTATCAAATTCCAAATTTTAATAGCACTATATAGCCTTATTTTGATCTGCTATCATCACTTATATAGTTCAAAACTCTGACCTCAGAATCCTTGCTGAGACTCCCCATCCCAAGGAGATGTGATGAGAGGGGACTCAGAAGCAAAAATTATCTGCGAGAGCTCCCCTTCTGTGGAATGCCCTTCACTAGATATTAAAAGCCCACATTCACTTCTAATATTCAGGAAGCTTTTAATAACAGGGCTCTTTCAATGCCAGATCAGTGAAGCAGCATAAAAGCATTTATAATAAATACATAAATATTTGATTTTGCATACAGAATTCTGCTATGAACAAGGTTTATCTTCTTAAGAAAAAAATCATGTCTGCTATCAGATGATACATGCTAGGTACCTGCTATGTTATCACACAGCATATTCACATGTAGAATTCTAAGAATCTGATTATAGCAAGTATTTGTAATATTTTAAGCACTGGAAATGTTTCTGGTAACAATTCATCTTCCCTGGACTTATAATCCTAGAAATCATTACTGAAAGACTGGTAATATTTTAAGCACTGGAATGTTTCTGGTAAACTGGAAATGTTTCTGGTAACAATTCATCTTCCCTGGACTTATAATCCTAGAAATCATTACTGAAAGACTGGTAATATTTTAAGCACTGGAATGTTTCTGGTAAACTGGAAATGTTTCTGGTAACAATTCATCTTCCCTGGACTTATAATCCTAGAAATCATTACTGAAAGACTGTAAGATATGTATGCCAGGATTATAGATTTTACATAAGGTGGTACAATATCTTACCAAAAATGTTAAAAGGGAAGAACTTCCATTTATCCACAATACTGAACTAAGCGTGGCTTAAATACCTTGCAAACCTATCCTAGGCATATTGAATTAACGGTTTAGTCCATGTATTTCAACTAAACCTGTTCCAAACATGTAAACAAGACTGGAGCCGTACAGGGACGTAAGCTCGGTTGAAAGAATAAGGCTTACACCCGAGTAACTGCACAATAGAATCAACTAGAGCGGTTGGATGAGTTGAGGGGGAAGAGCCTGGGAAGGAGCTAGAGGTCTTTCCTGCCGTATCTTTTCTAAAGCCAAACAATACGAAGCTCTCACAGAAAGAACCTGTTTGAAGAGGGGTCGGATAAGAGCTTCTAATAGAAGCGCTAATCTCAACGTCGAAGGCATTTCTCACAGTACTGAAAAGGAAGAGAATTATAGGACTGAGGCGAAACCAGCCACGATAAAGAGCGAAAGAAAGAAACCCGTGAATAGGCGCCATCTTCACTCCGGGCAACTCTCCTCCCAGAAAGAGCGAGCCTCAAAACGGAGCTGCTACCAAGCGCGCCACCAGCCACCCACAAGCAAAATGGAGGGCGCAGCATCCGGTCAGTTTCTTATACCCCGTTCCCTAAAATTCCCGCCATCCTCTATGGCTTCCCGGGCCTCACTTACTCCGGAGGGTAAAGGCGCAACTCCTCAATGTCACCTAGGAAACCGAAGAGCGTCCGCATCTGCTCACTAGTAACCGCGGAGGATAAATTAGTGACTTGAATAACCGAAGTAGGAGTTAAAGGGAAGCCGAGAGGGACCCCGATTCCACCGCTGTTCATCATGATGGCGGCAATTTCACTGCCTGACCAAACCAACGCACGTAGGCGAAGAGACGGAAGTTATCATAGAAAAGGCGCTTCTTCCTAGAGTGTTTATTACGTTGCGCGGCTTCCGTTCACGTGGTTTTCCATGAGGTAGGAGATGTTGCAAGCGCGTGTCCGGGAATACGGCTTGACCAGGAAGAGGACTTTGTAGAAGAGGGTGGGAGTCGAGATTTTGGACTCATTGTTAACCAATGGTGATAAATTATCTCGCTATTATGTGAATTGAAATCCGGCACATCTAGGAGGGACAGGTTGGAGAGTGTTCTATATCAAAGCATACCGAATATATAAACCACTGTACAATGCGAAGTCCAGTCTCCCCTTGCTTATGCTTGGACTAAGTTCCCCAACCCCCCGCATAAAGCAGTAGGGAAAAAAGGCGGTTGCAGGATATGAGGTCATACTTTGTAACCCAATGGCAGTGGCCAGTGCGCTCATAAATGTTTAGAGCTTTACTCTTAGGCACTGTTACTCAAACATATATTTTTTTTATCTCATGTTTTATAGACAGTGAAAGCGCTTTCTCCATCTTTTCTGTAGCTGGATTTCTAATGCATGTGGATATGGCACTAAACAGAATGCAATAAGAATTTTATTTGCATTCTTTCTTACGTTGCACACGCGTTATCCCAAGTTGAAAGCTCATCCTAGGGCTGAGGCTCCTTCACCAGCTTCAGTGTGATGTTCAACTCTTAAGCGTTAGGTCCTTTTCATTTGGTGTAATGGTGCTGGGCAAGATGTTGATGGCCATTTTGACCCTTAGTAACAGTAGTTTTTGCAGGTAGAGTTTGGAAGGAAGGGGAAAGACAGGATCCACAGCTAGCACAACTGCACAATATGATGGTAAATGCATGAATGAGGACAGAAAGGGGTTTGGGTGGGAAGAAATCTTGGCATGTTTCCAGACCTTTCACACTAATTGACTATGCTGGCACAAGTCACATGTTTTTTCACATAAAGTGAATTCATGGGTGGAAATTATCAACTGAAACCCTGGTCTTTTCATGGTTCTTTGAAAATCTAAGAGAGGGCAGTCCATGTAACAGGATAAGCCTCTTCCAAAGCAAGGTTGGAGGCATCACTGAGAAGACTCAAGCATGGGATCCTCAGCAGGCCCCCTCTCCTGGGGCAGATTCTCCTCAGGGCAGGCTTGGGCAGATTCAACTCAGCGAAGATGGTTTCAGAGATATCTAGTCCCTGAGCAATGTAGCAGATGTTGGAGAGGCACTCCCCCCATATTTTGGACATTTCCCTCTTGGGGTAGCCTAGCACCTCAGGGATGAAAAAAAAGTCCAATTAAGGTTAAGAGTTTGGATCACTTGGTTTCTGAATGTGAAATGGGCAATCGCCTTAAGGAAGCAAAATGCCCTGGACTAGCTCTGACAATTTTGTAATTATTTTAAATATGCTCATATTTTCAAAATGAACTGCTAATTTGGTTTGCAACACTACTCTCAAACATTGGCTCTGCCTTTCATCTAATATTATTTTAATACACCTAGCTGTCTGCCTATCTATCTGTCTTCTTCAGGAATACCAGTCAGAGGTTCTCTGCAAGCCAGTTTGGAATTACGACTTTCTACTTGGGTTCATGCATTCTATTTAATTCAGATAATTACTTTTTAGAAGTTAAATCATTCCAGCTGGGAAAGTTTCAGCAATTTAGGAAACTTCAGTCTGATGTAAATTGAAACCAATAAAGTACACACAACTTTAAAGAGCATTAGTTTATTATCTATTCTCCGTGTGTTACTCCAGAAACAATTTAATTATATACAAAAATTTGGAATGCTGAATAAATGCTGATCAATAAAAACATTACAGAGCTGCTGACAAGGGAATAGTTATTTTAAAAAGTAGTATACAGCAAATTAATGATAAAGGCTTGGTTCTGTGTGTCACTTATTGCTATGATTGTGTTCACAGGATGTGTTCAAGTATGTACACATTTTTAAACTCCAGTCAAAAATAGTAAAAAAAATATTTACACAATAAATATGTGGGAATTTTTCCAAAAATTTCACTTGAACCGATTCTTTAAAGAACTGATACCAAAAAAAAAAACCCTGAATTGATAACATGATCCATTCTATACCTAGAAAATATCAAATTTCCAGATATATTTTGACAAAATGAGAAACATCAGAAATCCATGGTTTCAAGAAAGGTTTTCCATTTCAGCGAGCTTCTTTTTCAACAATCTCTAAAACATATATTCTGACAAACACATAGGGAATAATGCATTTCAAAATGTGAGTTTTCCCCACAAAATATCCTTAAGCAATATTTTATTTCCTTGCAAACAGACCTTAAGCACCAATTTTTCTTACATTGTTACTTTAAACAATGAGAATTTTTGGCAATGCTTTTGAACAAAAATTATTCAAATAAAATTCTAATTTAGTTTAGAAAGTTTATCATTTCATACAAAATGCAATGTATTTCATTCTTATGTCTTGTATGCAAAGATAAATTGGGTCCATAATCAGATTTGAGACTTTTTATCTTTCACATAATTATGGTTTTATATTTCTTTATATTCCCTTCATTAAAAGACTGAATTTAGTAATTAAAAGCAATGAATATGAATGTGAATCACTGAATAAACTGTAAATAAAAATAGCAACACTGAAGCCTGTCATCATATAGCTATGTTTTTTGTTTTTTAAAGATTAACAGCATACAGAAAACAAATGAATTTAACCAAAATACAGCACATTTCTGCTAATACAAAAAAATCGATGCCTATGTAAATATTAATGAAATCAATTAAAGTTAATGTACAAAGAGTTGTTAAAGGGTTTCAATTAAAATTAAGAAATATGCATTACAATTTTAAGTTGTTAATTTCTTTGAAGTGCAATATTATTGGAGTTTATGTATTTAAAAAGTACTGACAGTTAACAATGTAGATTCTTTTCCATTCAAGTATGCTTTTGCAACATCTATAACAGACTGCTGCTTTGCTAGATTTCTTTTTAAAACTATTAATTTCTATTAAAATTTCAATTAACTGAATATTTTTCCAATGATGGGTTAAATCATTCACCTTTAAAAACAGG